CAACATTGCGCAAGCACCACTGCACATTGTCTGGGGAGACATGCTGGGCACTGAAGCAGGAGAAGCGGGGAGCAGGAAGAGGGGGAGAGGAGGGGGAAGGAGGAGGGAGGAGAAGGAGGAGGGGGAGGAGGAGAAGGAACATGGGGGAGTAGGAACTGGGGGAGGGACGAGCTAGGCGCGCTCGCGCCATATCTGACATCCTACCTCTGCCACTCATCCCTTCTCTTTGCGCTGTTTTCTCTCTACCTGCCGACGCGTGTCATAGCGGACCTGGAGCTTCGACAATGACCACGTCGTGTTATGCACAATCGGCAACAAAAGGGAGCTGCATACATCGGAGGAGGAGGAGGAGGAGGTGGAGGATGAGAGAGTGAGGAGGAATGTGACGAAAAGGATGGCGATCAGGAAGGAAGAGGACGAGGACGAACAGCAGCAGCAGGAGCTGGAGTGGAAGAGCGGGTGGAGCAAGAGGACCAGTGGATAGGGGAAGGAGGGAGAAGTGAAATGAGGGGGGCGACAACGATGAATAATTGCCTGGATCCAGAAATGTAGCCCGTGCTGGGGCGAGGGCGCCATTCTGAACGACGGAAGCAAAGCGCCGAACCGAACATGAGGCCCAGGCTGCAGCGGAAACACCATTTGGAAACATCGAAAACAATCGCATTGTAAACAACTATAAGACAAAACAACGTTTGAAATCTTGTGTGTACAACAATACGCGGAGAGAGCCGAATATCTTCCGGACGAAGTCGGGGGAGAGAGGAGAGTAGTATCCAGTTGCTTGTGCCAGCTCAGCAGTCTGGGCGCCGATTGTTCGAGGGGGTACGGGAGGCCGTCACGTGTGACACCTCGTGTTTCCAGGCTTGGGAGAGCCGTGATGCAGATGGTCGGGATGATGGGGATGATGACGATGACGATGCTGGTGGTGGTGATGATGATGATCAAGTTGCTGATACTGGTGATGATGATGATGATAATGATGATGGTGATGGTGATGGTGATGGTGATGGTGATGATGGTGACGATGGTGATGGTGATCATGGTCATGAGGTGATGATGATCATGATGCTGCTGATGAAGATGATGATACTGGTTATGATGACGGTGGTTGGGATGATAATATTGTTGTTGGTGACGACGAGGGTGATGGTGATGATGATGATGATGACGAAGGGGATGCCGACGATTATGATGAAGATGACGATGACGGTATCGCTGAGTGTTGTGTATAATGGTGATCTCTATGTTTTGTCGGATGATGATGGTGGTGGTGGGAATGTTGAAGATGTTGATGATGTTCATGATGATGATGTTGATGATGACCATGATGGTCATGATGGTCAGGATCGTGATGGTGATGATAATGATAATGATGATACTGATGAAAATGTTGATTATGATGATGATGATGATGACGACGACGACGATGATGATGATGATGATGATGATGATGATGATGGTTAGCATGATCATGATCATGATGATGATGATGCCGATACTGATGATGATAGTGAAGAGGAGGGGGAGGAGGAGGAGGAGGAGGAGGAGCAGGAGGAGCAGGAGGAGGATGAGCAGGAGAAGTTGCACCAGGAAGAAGAGGGAGGCCGTCTCGTGTGACGCCGTTTGTTTCCACGATCTGAAGAGCTCTCAACAGAATCGTGTGGGCCATCGTGGGGCTGTCTTGGCCGCTTGCGAGGCTGCCTTGGAGCTCTCTTGGGCCGTCTTGGGGCGCTCGTACGCCGTCCTGGGGCTCGCATGGGCCGCGTTGGGGCCCCCTTGGCCGTGCGGTGGGTGCCTTGGCGGGGCCGTCGTGGGGCCGCCTGGGCGCTGCCTTGGGCCGTCGATGTGCCTTCTTCTAATGCCGTCTTGGGTCCCACGGGAGGCCCTCTCGGGCTGTCCTGGGGTCGTCCTGAATGCCTCTTGGGCCAGCGTGGAGTCCTCTCGTGCCATCTGCGCAGCCTGCTGTTGGGGCGTCTTGGGGCCACTGTGGAGGCTTCTTGGGCCACCTTGAACTGACGACAGCCCGAAAAGGCGGGAACGCGAAAGTCATTCAAAAGCCACGGGACATCATTGGGCTTGGTGTCCTCGGACCTTGTTTGGTGCTTTCTTGTGGCACTTCTGAGCCCCCATTGGAGGCATCTTGGGCCGTCTTGAAGGCATGAGAACGCGGGAGTTGCACGATCCCCGAGCGGGTGCGCGTAGAATGAGTCTAGGAGTTAGCAGTCATGCGGGAAGTGCGCACTCCTCGAGCGGGTGCGCACGGAATGAGGGTTCAGGCTTTAGCCGCCACGCGGGAAGTGCACCATCAACCAGCGGGCACGCGTGGAATGGGGGGCGTAGGCATTACGCGCCATGCTGGGAGTGCACCATCTTCGAGCGGGCAAGAGGGACGTGGCCTCGGGAACGTCTGGGGTGTCGGGGCAGGCGGCTGTTTGCGACTAGAGGGAGGAGCGGTCCCCATATCAGAGTTCGAAAACCATACCAGGCAGTTTCGGCGGCGAGCAAGGGGGGGAAAAGAGAAGGAGAAGGCCTTGTCAGAAGGCGGCGGGGCTTCTCAGAAGCCCTCGCGCCTTCTGAGAAGTTTTCTGCGTCTTCGGAGAAGGCTTAGAACACTTCTCAGAAGGTGACCTCCGAGCCTTCTGAGAAGGCCCGCCCCTTCTCAATCCCCCCCTCGCTCGCCGCCGACAGCACTTTGGCATGATTCCACGCCTCGACGTGCCAGGGGCACGGCGGCGAGTTCACAATGTGCAGTTACGGAGGAGGGTGCAGTAGGACAGCCAGTCGCGCTCGCGCCATATCTCACATCCGGACCCTCCCGCCTATCCCTTCCCATTGCGCGGGTGTGTCTTTATCCGCCGACGCAACAACACATAATGTTCCGAGTGGGAAAAAACACCGGCAGCATTAATAATTACATCTTGTGTGTAACACGATACGCGGAGAGGGCGGGACACCTTCCACACCCAGTCAGGGGAGAAAGGAGAGTAGTGTTCAGATTGAGAAGTTGGAAGGAGAGGAGGAGGAGGAGGAGGAGGAGGAGGAGGAGGAGGAGGAGGAGGAAGGGGGAGCGTGAGGAGGGGTGAAGAGGAGAGGTGTGGAGGAAAGAAGACTGGTAGGGGAACGAAGAGGAGGGACACAAGTGGGATCAGGAGTGTGGCGTTGATCCGCACACTGGTTACACTGTGCTGCACCATGGTGATCGGCACAACTTGTTGAGTTCTCGGGGGCTCAGGGTTCCTAGAGCCCGCCGTATGATCAGGCTGTTTCCCGCTCAATCCTCTTCATTATCCTCCTCTTGATATGTATATTTCTTGTTATCTTGCCTGTCGATGACTCGCTCTCCTGGGTGATTACCTCCTCCGTTCATCCTCTCCAGCGTGCTCTCTGTGGAGCCTCGACAACCTCAATGGTTTCCAGTGCGCTTTGGTAGACCGCCGCGCCAGTGGAGTCGGCACGTTGCTACTCTCATGTTTCTTTGGCTTACAGCGGGTGTGTGTGTGTGATTTGTTTGGTGTGGACGTCTGGCCGTTTGCTCTTTAATCCAGGTATCTTAGAAGGGGTCTGAACACATGGGGTCGGAGGATCTCGCGGCATCGCGGATGCATCGGCGATGCGGATCGATGGGGATCCCTATGTTCTCCACGCCGACGTCGCTCATGCAGCGCCGATGCGTCGGCGGTGCGACGTGAGCCTCAGACCCTCCGACCCCATCCGCTCCACTTGGGAAGCCTCCCTCTGTGCACCAGGAAGCTGGATACCTCTGACGCGGCCGGCCTGGGCGAGATCCGGGTACGTACACACGTGTGGCCGCCCGCCTGCCCAGCGCTCGGCCCTCCTGCGTCCTGGCGCGCAGGGCTTCCGCGTGTGCAACCATCCAGCGCGTGGCCTCCAGGCGTCCCCGCACGCGAGGCCCAGGCGCGTGTGTGCTTCCGGCGTCCTGGCGCACTCGGCCCACAGGGCGGCCCGCTCTGCGAGCCGTGGGTCCGTGCAAGCTCTCCGTGCCGTGGCTCTCCGCGTCTGCGCCCCGAGGTCTGCGCGCTGCGCCCCGGGGGCACTGCCTCCGCGCGCTCGCCCGGCCTGCCCCGGGAGCGCTGGCCGAGGTCGCCGTAAGGAGGCCTGGCGCCCGCCAGACTGCGGCCCCTGTGTCTGCCCTCTCCAGGGGCGACGACAGGGGGGATTAGGCACATGGGGGGTCGCATCGACCCCCAGTCGCCCATTGATCGCCGACAGGGGCCCGATGGCCCCCATCTGCCAAGGAACGTAGGGAGGATGAACTATCGGGGGCCTATCGGCGATGTATCGTCGATTCCAGGTCGCTGTTTCGCCCTCTATGCCTGTCCCCCCCCCCCCCTATCAGTGCGCCTGACTTCCTGGAGCACTCGACCCCATGCCCCTCTGCGCCGGGCTGCTGTGCTGGGGCCTCGTCGTAGTCGTTTTGCTGCTCTCGCCTAGCGGGGTCCTGCTGCACGAGACTGGCCGCGCTCTCCGACGCTACGGGCCAGTACGGCCCGACTGAATGCCGAACAGAGGAGGCTTGACACCAACGCAGTCGTCAACTCACTGCTGTCCGATTCTACGGCGCTGCCATCCCTGGCGCTGGCAAAATTCGGAGGACAACGACGACAAGGACACGAGCGCAGAGGGAACGAACGACGAGGCGACAGGGGAGAGGACACCCACAACCCTCGAACAAATTAACCTCACAGTTGTTGACGTGCCACTTCAATGTCGCCCCCTTTCACCCATTCAACGTCGCCCCCTTCAATATCGAAGCAAAGCGAAACGCGGTCAGGGCGGGCGCGACTCGGCAGTTCCACGATGATCGACGTTGGAGAGGGGGCGCCAACAAGTACCTTGCGCGCGCGACAAGGAAACTGCGTGACGCATTGCTGCCGCGAGTTTTACGCAGTGTGCGCCCCTCTTCTGCCCCGGGAGGAGGCAGGAGGAGGACACCCAGGCAGGAGGACGAGGAAGAGGCGATGGCAGGAGGAGGGGAGGACCGAGCAGGCGGCACGTACCGCGGCGCACTTCTGGGAGGAGGGGGGCTCGTGTGCGGGATGGCCAGCACGCACGTCCCCACTCTCCCCCTCGCACCCCTGGGGCTGCTACAGTCTGTGTCGACCCCATGCTGGCATTTACGGTTGGGAACTTGTGCTCAGCGTGTCGAGGCCGCCGTTTCTGACCCACCGCGCCTCGGCGCGACACGCCAACCGTGCCCCAGCACCTGAGCGGCAAGGTACCGAGCGTTTCCCAGCCTCTCGCCCCGCCAAGCGAAGCGACACGTTTGCTGCTGGCAGGGCGTAGCGCGTCGCCAGAACCAGACTATATTCACTTAGCGTTGGCCTGGCATGTCGAAGGCTCGCATTGTCCATGAGATGGCACGCGAACTCACACATGAGCGTCATCCCACAGCTTGCTATTGGCATTGTCATCAGCACGACTAGTTACTTTACGTTGACAGTTCGTGAGAAGTCCGCCCGTTTGCCCCAGGAGCTCCGCAAAAGTGTGGATAGACTAGAGAAGTCCATGGGCACTCAGGACGCTGTGAATGTCAAGCGGGGCAGCGCGTCGCAGTTTCCTTATTGCTTGCCTTCTCTTGTTGGCTCACTGTTGCATTCGGGTAGCAGCATGACGTGACCAGAGGCAGGCGAGTACAAAGAGCATACACACCCACACGGTCACGTGTCCGTAGCCAGCTCGGTTCAAGTGGCGCTCGAGTGAAGTCTCGCCACCCGGTTCTGGGTACAAAGTCGCATGTGAGTAGGCACTGGTTTCGCTGCAACGCCTCAGCGCTCCCAGCGCAGTGGTTCTTTGTCCTTCGTGGCTGTTATGTTGCGTTGCGAGGCATTTCCGCTGGCTCTTGAAGCGCGCGTCTTGCATCGCTGATGCCTTCTCGCCGCCCGCTTATCTTGTTGCCGAGTGCATTCAATTGGTGCGAGATGTCGGGCCTGCCATGTCCTTCGGTGTTGTTGCCAGGCATCCCCACTGTGAACACGCTTGCGGCCCTACCTTTTGTCGGCACCTCTCCCTGGAGCGCGCTTTCCAGCAGTGGCGGGCTGGTTGAAAGGTGGATTGGCCTGACCCAGCTGAAGTTGTGCTCTCGTGTTGCTTTTTAAATCAAAGGCTTCGCTGCTTTGGGGCGTTCGTTTTCGTGTGCATGCAAATGTGCGCCAGTCCGAAGAACACATATCCACACCCTTAAATGTATAGCACACACTCATAGTCGTTCACATGTGTTATTCTAGACACGAACATGTGGATGTGTATGGTCCTGTGCATGTGTTCGGTTGTGCGCATCTGCGCAATTCATCCAGACGCCTATCCTCCTTATATTGACCAAGCGTTTGGCCAAACTGTCAAACCCTGTATGCACACTGGAATGTGTACACAAGGCTGTCACAGCGCATGCTGGTGACATCGTCACCAACAATACCCAGGCCCGCCCAGTGGGATTGGTGGGTCGAGCCCCTCGCTCGAAGTAGATCTGGGTGAAAGCGGTATCTTCGAGTATCACGTCTACTAGTGCGTCTACTGCAACGGCCTCAATACTTGTTATTGCGACCGAATTCATGCCCGTCGTGGGAGATGCGACTGGGCACAACGATCCACTACGGGGAGGTGGCACTTCTTCCACTGGGGACAAGACAGCGGTTGGAGGCCAGTTATCCGGCTTCTCGGCGGACGGGGGGTATCGTCAAGACTGTCTTGTATTACCAAGCCTTGCATTTCCGAATGTGGGCGAATGCGATCCAGATTTGTACTACTGGTTCCAAGTTTACCTATCCACGGCATGCGATGCAGTTTGTCCTCACCCTGATGACGACTGGATCCCGCTCGCCGTGCATGCAACCTCCATGCAAGCGGAGCTCTCTCGGCTGATGGCAAAGCTGATGGAGGAGCTCGCGCTTTTCGACGGTGCGCCTGAGCACCGCCCAACGTGGCTGGAAGATGACGAAGACGTCGAACCAGCCCTGCTGCGCACGATCAGAAGCCTCATGCGGAAGCTCGACTCTTACAGTTTCACCTTGGAAGAGCAAGTCCTCGACTTCGACTACTGGACGGCCGAGTGCGAGAGGGAAGCTGACTGGGCCCTCATCTCGGGCCCCAACATAAAACGATGCCCACAGTACTTTGACTACGGCATCAATCGGCTGTTAGAACTCCTCGGGCCGCTGCAGGCAGAGGCTTTCAAGCCGGACCTCGCGGCCCTCAGGGACTACCTCGAAGCGGAATGCCGTGCATTTCTTGGGATCGACGGCAGATCCGACGACGCCAGCAGTGCCATGCTCGAGTTCGACGACCACGACGACGAGCTTGCCGATGGCAGAGAGTGTGTCACACTCACTGAATGCAGCGAGCGTGCTGACGGGGCAGCCGGCTTCGCGGCACAGAAAAGCCCAGGAAGCGGCGACGGCGGCGGAGGCCCCTGGCTGGTCCCGCCTCCGTTACTTCCTGACGGTGCGGCCGGGAGAGATCGGAACCGTTCCCTTCCCTCCTGAGGCCCATCATCACAAAGCGGGGCGCCTGGCCCCCCCGTCCTCCGAGGATAAAGGGGTGGCTGGGCACAGTGCTAGTCTCGTCGTCCTCCTGATGACACAATGCTCTTCTCGTTGTCTTCTGATGACGCTCACGTTGGTTATCCTCTGGTAGCCACACAATGCACCCCCGACTGGGGGCACCAATTCAATGCCGTCCTTCACGAAGCAGGTCCTCGCGATCTACACTTTTCGTGCTGGTCATTTTCATTTACGTCCCTCCGGTGGGGCAATGTAGCAACGATACATCAACAAGATCTGGATCGGTTTCGCGCTGATCAGCTTGGTGGTGGTAAAGCAACTTCTTTCAGATGGAGGCACTCCAGAGTTAGGGTACTCCACAGACACCATATTATTATTATTCTTCTGGTGACATCGTCGGAAACCAGCAATTTATCGGGGCAGGATCTTCGTAGTCGTGGCGTCGTTTGCATGCGAATGTGTGCGCGCGAATGCACAAGTGAGGGAGGTTGGGGGCGCAAGCACTTTTTTTGAATGCCGCCCATGATGGGAGATCGTAGTTCGTGTTTGTGCGCATGGCGTCCCAACCTGATCCTGATGACGCAACATGGGAGCACAATTCCAACAGCACCCATAACATTCACCATCGTGCCAACACCATTGCACGAGTAATCATACTGCTTCCGTGAGTTCTGCCCCCCTCCCCCAGAAGGTTTTGAGCGCGTCTGGACAGTAGCAGGTGGAGCAATCGTAGCTTCACGTTGTTCAGCCCATCTGTCTGCCAGTTGCCGCGAGCTGGCCCGTCTGCCTGTACGCAGCCTACCGCCCTCCCTTGACCGTTTCGGCGCGCTCGCGCTCGATCGAATAGCCATTATGTTACGGTCAAGAACATTGGCTCAGCGTGTCGCGCCGACGGTGCTGACCCACCACGTTGCGGCGCGACGCGCTAAACACGTCCAGACCCCCCCACAAGCGTCGACGTCCCGAACCTTTTTCCTAGCTTTCCCGCCCCGCGGAGCGGAGCGGCATGGCATCCGCTTGCGATGCAATGCGTGTCGCCAGGGCCGACGCCGCGACCCGCTAAACAAAAGTTCATGACCTTGATTACCGTGGCAACGGCATTACAAACAATGTGTATGAATATATGCTCATAAATGTGTATAGAGTGATGGTGGACTGTTGGAGGTTGAATTCGCAGTTCCGCGGATGCACTGCGGAATTGGCCCATCCATTATCATACCACCCTTGACGTCCTTATCGGTTACACGATGGTCTACTACATTTTTGCATATATGCATGTGCGTGTGTATGTCCGTGTGCACATGCCTGGTCTGGACAGACCGTCCAGAGTCTAAGAGGTGTGTTCCAACACGCGGTTTGCACATGTAGCGAAGAAAGAAATATCGCTCAGTTTCCAAAGCGTTTTTCGACAGTTGGTTCTGGAGAATTCTGGCAGGCTTCCCCATGAAATCACCTTGAACCTGTCTTAGAGAATGACGTCTCGACGGCCGCCCCCACCACGCCTTTGCCCGATGGGTTTGCGAATCGGCTTGCCCCCTTCCGAGTGCAAAATTTGATCGGCCTGCATACAGCCGCGACCGCTGAGCACGGCGGCCTCGCAAAAGCAAGGGGGCCTTGTTCTCCTCTCAGCCGTTTTCTCATGTCCTCGTGCTCTTTGTTCCCCCATGCTGCCCTAGGAAGGAAGACTGAGTAGTGCGTCCTCTCGGGTCTCGGGTGTCCCTTGTCTTCGTTCGCGAATGTGTCTCGTTGTTGGCATGGGTGGAAAATGCAATCGTGCAGGCGTGCAAACGTGCTCGTCTGATGTGTTGCGTGCCCTGAAGCGCAGAAGCCGCACGTGTGAGTAATTCCCTTCAGTATATTTGTCGACCATGGGCCGTTCTGTCAAGAAGCATCACCGTTTGCGAGCACGGTGTGGTTGGTCTTGTGCGGGTTTCGAAAGATGACGCACTATCGGTGAGGCACCTCTTGAGTGCCTCATCGCTAATGTTGTGTCGCTTCGTACGCTACTCATGGCGTCCCCAGTCGTGGCGGGACGTCACGAATTCGCCTTCGGGCGGCGGGAAGGGGGGGGAGATAGAGAGCGAGAGAGAGAAAGAGAAAGAGATAGGAGAGAGAGGGCGAGCGCTGAGGAGGAGGAGGAGGAAGAGGAGGAGGAGGAGGAGGAGAAGGGAGAGAGGGAGAGGAGGAGGAGGAGGAGGAGAAGGAGGAAGAGGAGGCGTTTGGCCGAGGCACCGGGGAGGGAAACGCCTTCCCCCGCCCTGGCCGGGCAGCGCCCAGCGCGGCACCATACGCTCGCGAGGAAGAAGTACAGGTCCCTGTATTTTTTCACCCCGAACTCGCTGCACCTGATTCACAACACTCTGATCATCAAGTACCCCTTGTACTTGATCATCCTGACCGGGCTTTACAAGAACCTCCTGGACATCGTTAACCGCGGTACACCTTCAAGGTTTGGTCAGGCCCTGGAGCGGCCTGTTACCACCCAGGCACGGCACCAAGATGAATCAGCTACGAGATTACCGGTTCCATCCGAGAGTTCCCCGTGCCCCTCGAGACCACGGATACTGCAATCTTGAGGCAGCTGCCTACCGTAGGTTGGTCTACGCGGCCCGCAAAGGCAACTCTACAGCGAAGGACCTCACCATCTTCGTGCGACAATGTTGGAGCACGAGTGGCGTAGCCGCCATCAGCAAGTTCAAGTTCAACAAGTACCGCGCCGAGTTCGTACCAGTCAGCTTTCCCGACGATTGCTGCGTCGACGACAGCGAGGATTACGGTACCATCCAGTACGACCTCGGGCAATCCAGCATCGCGCCCCGCCCCGGCGCTGCCCGCCACGGACTACAAGCAGCGCTCCGACGGCCACCAGCAAAATTACGACGGCCACCAGCAGAGCTACGCGGACCACGAGCAGCGCTACGCGGACCACAAGAAGAGCTACGACTCCACCAGCAGAGGTACGCTGGCCACCAGAAGAGCAACGCGTACCATTAGCCGCGCAACGCAGATTACGAGCAGAGCTACGACGGCCACCAGCAGAGTTACGCGGACCACCACCAGAGCTATTGCGGCCACCAGAAGAACTGCGACGGCCGCCAGCAGAGCTACGAGGCGGACTACGACGGCCACAAGCAAAGCTACGACGGCAACCAGCAGCGCTACGCGGACCTCAAGCAGAGCTACGACAGCCACCAGCAGAGCTACGCGGACCACCAGCAGCGCAACACGGAGCACAAGCGGAGCTACGACGGCCACCAGCAGACCTACGAGGGCCACAAGCCAGATTACGACGGCCACCAGCAGAGCTACGCGGACCACCAGCAGCGCTACGAGGGCCGCGAGCAAAGCTACGACGACCACCAGCAGAGCTACGCCGACCGCGAGCAGAGCAACGCGGACCGCAAAATGAGCTACGACGGCCACAGGCAGAGCTACGACGGCGACCAGCAGAGCTATGCGGACCTCAAGCAGAGGAACGCGGACCACGAGCAGAGCTGCGACGGCTACCAGCAGAGCTACGCGGACCGCAAGCAGCGCTCCGACGGCCACCAGCAGAGCTACGACGGCCACCAGCAGAGCGACAAGGGCCACGAGCCGGACTACGACGGCCACGAGCAGAGCTACGACGGCCACCAGCAGAGCTACGCGGACAACAAGCAGAGCGACGACAGCCACCAGCAGAGCTACGCAGACCAAGAGAGCAACGCGGACCGCAAGCGGAGCTACGACGGCCACCTCCAGAGCTGCGAGGGCCACGGGCCGGACTACGACGGCCACAAGCAGAGCTACGACGACCACCAGCAGAGCTACGACGGCCACCAGCAGAGCTACGCGGACCACGAGCAGAGCAACGCTGACCACGAGCAGAGCTACGACGGCCACCAGCAGAGCTACGCCGGCCACCAGAAGAGCTACGCGGACCACAAGCTGGGCAACGCGGATTTCGAGCAGAGCTACGACGGCCACCAGCAGAACTACGCGGACCACAGGCAGAGCGGCGCCAGCCACAGGCAGAATAGGGACGGCCACAAACAGAGCTACGACGGCCACCAGGGGGAGCTCGCGCGGCGGGGGGCCGCACAAACAACCCCCAACTGCCCAGAGGCACGAGCAGAGCTACGCGCCCGAGAGCTAAAACTCGCAGGGCTACGAGGGCGCGAGGAAGAACTTCGCAATAGGCTACCGGCTGGGCCTGACAGCACTCGCTTTAAGTCTCCCCAGGCCATCGATACGGAAGGAGACAGGCACGCCAGGGCAGGCCAGGCCGTAAACGCCCATGAGTTGTACTCCCGCACGTGCGACGAAATTCTTCGCGTGCTCCAACGCCTTCCAGATCCGAACACAAATCATCACATGACAGATCTGGATATTTTCATGACAAAGATGACGGCGCTGAAACTAACTGCTTCCTGTGCTCCTTCACCTTTGTCTACGAGATGTACGTCGCCGGCATCATAGGCACTGAGAACCTCAAGGTGCTCTGAGGCTACCTTTCACGGGGCGGAGCGACTTACGACGTGAACGGTTGCACTCCTCCTCCCCGAGGCCACGGCGACGTTCTTTTCCCCCTCTCGACGACCCCCGACGCCACGACGACGAGCGGCCCCCCTTCCTTCCCTCATCGCCGGTGGCTCACCTACCCCAATGGGGCACAGCGGAGGAGGTCGTGGTCTGACATGACTACATGAGCCGTTGCCGCGTACCCTGGCAGCCCTCGCCAGGCACGGCCCGCCCCCGCGGCCGCGCGCGCTTGCGGCGGCGGCGGTGGCGGCAGGAGGAGGAGGAGGAGGAGGAGGAGGAGGAAGAGGAGTAGGAAGGGCGAGGAAGAGAAGGAGGAGGAGGAGGTGGAGGAGGAGGAGGAGGAGGAAAAGGAGGGGCACGGAGGCAAATATGACCACGGCGCACGGCCCAGGCCGGGGAGCTGACTATCTCAGCCCCGCGCAGCGCGAGGCGCGCATCGAGGCGGCCCAGGGGACATCGGCCGCAGGGCCCCAGCATCAGACGAGCCCGGCATCGCACGAGCCTCAACACTCTGGTTCCGCTCCCTGCGGCGCCCCTCGGACGCGGTTGAGGCGTCGAGATCGCCCTGGGCTATTCCGAGGGCCTGTTGAGTCCAGCTGGGGCTACGCGGGGAGCCTGTCGAAAGCGGCTAGGATTAAGGAAGGGTGGATTTGTTCAAGCGCGCGTGCAGTTCTGTCCGGATGAGGGGGGGTCGTCGAACCTGGCCAGACTGCGGGAGAGGAGAAGGGCAAGCAACCATATCAGCAGAGACGCGCGGGCGCCGTCATTCGGCGGAAGGGGGGCGACGTGCGGCCTCTTGGCAGTTCCCAGGCCTGAAGGTGGTCTCCACCAGAACGGGTCGAGAGCGGGCCCCAGGCACAGCATGACTGGGCATTGCGTGAACAAGCTTGCGTGCAGATCTCGTGGCTACTGGCCCCGCCCTTGGGTGAGTTTCGACGCCGCCCCGCGCCACGGTTATGGGCTGCCCCGCAGCCTGGCCGCCCCGCGCGTTCCCTGCGGCGCCGCCGCGTGACAGCGCCCCCCTCCCTTCTTGCACTCCGCGGCCGCCCTCTTCTGGCCTTCCCCCCCTCTTTCACGCGGGACAATTCGCAACGCCGTAGCCTGGGTTGTTCGACGCGCGAGCGGATCGGCTTTGCCGCGCCGCGACCGAACAAAACATGAAAATCTCGTGAATTACAGAGGATATCCTCTTGCCCGACGCCAGGACAGCTTGGTACACCAGTTGGACGAGGAGACGGAGAAGGCGCACCGCCGGGTTATGGCATCGTTCGCGCTTCTCTTCTCGCGCGGCATTATTGTGAGGAGCTCGCATGCATGCAACCAAGACGCTGAAATTTCGAACCGCTTGGGTACGAAACGGGCTTGATGTTCCTTGGGTCAGTGTGTGGTTTTCCTCTGGCCCTCTTCTTGCGATTCGGGTGCCAAACAGGGGATCCGTTCCTTACTATCGTTCCTTATTTCAGCGGCCCGGCTGCATACTCAAACCCGCGGGGCGCTCCAGAACGTGCCTCGCCTTCGAGGATCGAATGAGTTGGCACCTCTTCCTCGGCGGAAGGCGGCGGAAGGGCGGCAGAAGCAAAACGAGGGTGGCTCCGCTGGCGGAAGCCGGCGAAAGCATGCACTGGCCCGCCAAAAAATGGTTTTGTGCGTGGTGCAGGGTTCCAGGAACCCGCCACATGGCACCAAGCGCGCCAAACGTGCACATGTTGATTCCTCATACTCCCTTTCTCCTCCAACTCCTCCAACTTCAACTTCTCCTCCTTTCCGTAGCCATTTTGGCTCAAGGCACGGTCGCGCGCCAGGCCCCCGCGGCGGTCGGGCTGCGCTATGGGGCTCGCACCTGCGGACCTATCCATCCTCATCGAGGGCATCATGCGGGGCGTCGCTGGGGCGCCGAGGCAGGTCGCGGCCGCGGCTGCGGCAGCGGCCATTCGAGTGGCAACGGAGGTGCTGTTGGGCATCGCGGAGCCCTCGGACATCGACCGCGAGACAGCGGAGCGCATGCGTGACATCAAGCCGCACCTCCGCAAGCACGTGGAGGCGGGCGCCACCGGCCAGCGCGCCAACATCCCTGGCTTGGAGCGGGTCCGGGAGAGTGGCGCGCCAGCGACACGGGCAGGACCCAAGAGCCCGAGGAGAAGGGCTCCGACAACACGGAGATCGAGGAGAAGTACGAGCTCGGCGAGCTGGCGAAGCAGTCCGCGCAGTACAGCCAGGAGCTGAAGGCGGACAGCGGCAAGGTGAAGATCGGCTCGGAGCGCGGCGTCAACCCTGACGCGCAGCAGGTGGAGAAGCTGGTGGGGGAGATGATCCAGGACGCCAGCGCGATCTCCCTGGAGAGCACTCACGCGAGGAAGGTGGCGAACTTGGAGGGGGAGATGATCAATGCGGACATCAAGTGCGCACACAACCACAAGGCCACCGACACCTGCGAGACCAGCATGGACAACACCCAGTTCCACAAAGGGGCCAACCAGAACGACCTCGTCAACGGCCAGGCAGGGGGAGAACACTCGGTTCCACAACGGGGCCACCAAGAACGAGCAGATGAAGGCGGACATCCACACGGTGAAGACCTATTCTGAGTGCGGCGTCAATTCGGACGCGAAGCAGTTGGAGAAACTGGTGGGCGAGATTATCCTGGACGCCAGCACGATCATCATGGAAAACACTCGGGTCCACAACGAGGCCATCACGAACGCTGTCGATATCGCGGCCAAGCCGATGAACGCAGACAGCGACAAGGAGATCATCGATTCGGGGAGCGACGACAACCCTGACGTGAAGAAGGTGGCGAACTTGGAGGGGGCGTTGATCCAGGACGGCATCAAGTGCGCACCCTCTCACAAGGCCGCCGACACTAGCGAGATCATCCTGGTCAACACTCGGTTCCACAAGGGGGCCACCAAGAATGACGTCGTTAAGCCCTTCATCCCTTTCCCGTGCATGGCTGACACAAACTGCGTGCCGACGACCTCGGAGCACGACTCGTCCGCCATGGGCGCGGGCAGGAACAAGGGCAAGTACGAGGGCAAGGCCAAGGGCAAGGGCTCCATCGCCTTCCTTATCTGACTAAGTGCCTCCAGCTACAGAGGCTGAAGGCCTATGGGTTCGCCGACTTCGGAGCGGCGCACCTTCCGCCCATGAGTGAAAAAAACTTATCCTCCTCCTTCTCCTTCTCCTCCTCCTGCTCCTGCTTCTCCTCCTCGTCCTTCTTCTCCTCCTCCTCCTCCTCCTCCTCCTCCTCCTCCTCCTCCTGCTCCTCCTGCTCCGTCTCCTGAATCGGTGACCGCGTTCCATTGTCCGCGAAAGGTGGCAAGCGTTTGAAAAGCAGCAGCCGAACCTCAAAGGCGAGCGAAATACACCCGGCTTGAGGGCTACCCTTCTCCAGCCAAGCACATTCTGGTGCCCCCAGAAAGTGCGGTGACCACACCGTGTTGTGAGCCAGTGGGGATTCGGAGTGATCGCTCGGTTTGGGGGACGTTGGCTGTTCTCAGAGGATGTCTTGGGCGATTGAGGCCTCTGAGGTCCCACAACGGTGCGGTGACGGACCTTGCAGTGAGGTCCTTGGGGATGTCGGGGTCACCGCACGGTCTGTCACCACAGCGTTTGGACCCCCCATCAAATCAATCCCAAGAAAGGCTGCATTGGAAGACCGCCGGCTCCTGCACCTGCTGGCGCACTCGCTTTTGCCATGATGTTGTCGGGCTCAAGAGGGGCTCCGGTTTTGCCGCGACGCTCGTGGAAGTTGTCGAAGACGCCCAGGGCGAATCACCGCCGCCCCCTCAGTTTTTTTTTTAAGGCGCCCCTGTGGCCAAACGTGTGGGCAAAGTCTGGCCACGTGAGTCCGTTCCCCCAGCTGTTGTAGAAGCCATTCGTAGAACACAAAAGGGAGGAAGAGGAGGAGGAGGAGGAGGAGGAGGAGGAGAGGGAGGAAAATGGAGGATGAGGAAAAGGATGAGGAGACCTCTTGGGAGCTTCTGGGTTCATTCTTGGAGCCTCCTGAGAGCTTCCTGTGGGCCTCGTTGGGCCTCTTGGAGGCCTTTGGGAGCTTCTTGGGGGTATCTTCTTTGGCTGTCATGCGGCGTTCCTGGCCCGCCTGACGCCGTCGGAAGCCGTCTTGAGTGCCTTTTTGAGCCGTCTTGGCGCCCTCCTGGGCCTTTTAGAGGCCTCTTGGGCCGTCTTGGGGCCGTTCGGGGGCCCTCTTGGGGGCCTCGGGGGCCGCCTTAGGGCTATCTTCGAGGCCTCTTGGGCGATCTTGGAATCAATGAGTTTGGCCTCTCCGGGCCTTCCTCTTCCTGGAGGATCTCGTGGAGGCCTCCTGGGCCGTCTTGGGTGCCTCTCGGGCTTTTCTGGGGCCGTCTTGGGCTCTCTTGGACCATCTTGGGCTCTCTTGGGGGCCATCTTGGCCATCCTGGTGGCATCTCGGGGTCCATCTTAGGCTGAATGCAGGAGCGGGGAAACCTTCGCAGCTGGGCCTCGGGCAGCTTTCCAGGTGGCAGGCGCGCGGGGCCGAGGTCCCAAGGGGTAGTCTCAAAAGAAGCAGACAGTTTCTAAGAAGTTTAGCACGCCAGGCACCCCTGAGATAAGTCAACCGCGGGGGCGGCGGATCTAGTGGCCGTCTTCTGCCCAGCCCGCCACCGTGCCTGGGCTGTGGGTCAGGGGGCCTCTTGGATGAATGTGAGGGTCTCTTGGGATACCTCTCAGGAGCCCCTTCGCTCCTTTTCGTCAGCGTTCCCTACGGCAGCACGATGGCTGCACGGGAAGCCTGCCAGCTCCCGCACATGCCCGCGCACTCGCTTCTGCCATGCTCATCGGCGTCGGAGCTGTGGCGCCACCCTTCCGCCGCGCCCTCGAGCGGCGACACGCTCTCGCGGAGCCGTGGCATTAGCTCGACCGCCCCTCCCAGAGCCCAGACCCCTGATGCGATGTCGCCGCGCCGCTGTGGTTCCGACGCGCGACCTGCCTTCGAGGGGGCGCCTCGGCCACGAGGGCAAACGCCGCCTCGGACGCAGAGATTGCCGTGGGTTTCCCGCGGTGCACTTGGGCGCGGTCTGAAGAAGCGGCGCGGCGACTCGTGCTTTTCCAGAACGGGGTATTCCCAGACCTTTCGACCCTTTCCCCTGGACCAGTGTGCTGCCCCCGGTTCCGGGATGCCGACAGCTTCGGAACTGTTCACTATGTCGCTCTCAAGGCGTCGGAGGCTTGGGCATGTACCCAGAATCGGGGATAGGGGATCTGGGGGTGCGTGGTTGGGGCTACGAGATCCCCCAGGTGTCCGTCGTCCCCCCTTTCTCTTCTGGCACATCCTCCTGAACCGCTTGCTTCCCCACCGTACCTCGGGCCCTGATGCGCTGACCTCCCCGCGTTTCGATCCGATCGATTCGATGCGAGATCGATGCTGGCCGGCCCGATCCGATTCGATTCCGATCTTCTGACGATCCGATGCGGCCCGATGTCTGCACGTGGCTGCGGTGCATCTCGGCGCGCCTATCCGATACGATTCCGAATTCGCTCCGATGCAGCCCGATCCGACGCGCATTCCGACCCGATCCAATTCGCCGATTCGACCCTGACTGATCACACACCCGTCCTCCTGCCCCCCCCCGTCCTCCCCAGACATCCGACGACGTGGTTTGTGTCGGTGCGCGGCCACAGGGCATCCGACCCGATCCGACCCCTTCGCACGGGGGCAGTTCCTCTCGCCTCGGGTCCGAGGGCGGTGGTCCGGGCTCCAAGCCAGGGTGGTGAGATGGTGGGGCTGAGCTGCAGGAGGAGGAGGAGGAGGAGGAGGAGGAGGAGAAGGGCGGCGGGCCCGGAGACCGAGACTGAGGAAAGACCCCCGGATCGAAAGATCAGACCGCGGGAGGCTTGGGTCCCCCGCGCACCCAGCGGAGCCCTCCCCCGCTCGGGGGTGCCGTGTTTCGAAAAAACCGAAAGGCTGGATGCCTGGGGGAAGGGGGGGGAGCTCTAGATGGGTTCGGAGGATCGCGCCGCATCGTCGATGCATCGGCGATGCGGCTCGATGTGGAGCCTGGTTTTCTCCACCCTGGCGTCGCCGATGCGTCGCCGATGCATCGTCGATGCATCGCCGATGCATCGGCGATGTATCGCCGATGTATCGGCGATGCGGCACGATCCTCCGACCCCACCTCGTCGGACCCCATCTAGGAGGCCTCTAGAAGCAGAGGAGGAGCACAGGTGGGGCGGGGCAGGAGCCACCACGCGTCGACGCCTGCCGCCCCGCCCTCCTGCCCCTCCACCGAGAGCGCGCCAGGCCGCGGAGCTGGCGGCCAAGCTCTCCAGCGCGCGCGCCCGGGAGGCGGCACTGGCGGGCCGGCTGGAGAGCGCCGTGACCCGCGAGAAGGCCCGGCGGGGCAGCCCGCCCTCCCCAGACTTCAAGTCGGGCCTGTCCCTCTGCAGGCGGAATGTTCAAAAATGGTCAAAAAATAGTCGGGGGGACCTGTCAGCGACGGTGCCTTTGCGCGCCCGCCAACTCTCAATATCTTCCCCACGCTCCAATACCAAGTCCTTGTCTTCTTCAGGCGCTGGTGCCGACACTCGCGCGCCAGGCACACTGGTCCAGCAACTGTTCGAGCAGCACCGGATTCACAGTGCATTGCATGAAATGGATGCGTTCAACAGCGCCGAATACGCCAACGAACTACAGCAGCGATATAAAGCTTAACTGGCCGAGGCTGGGAGCATAAGCAGTGACGATAACAATCTAGTTGGAGAGTCCTAGGCGCTGAGTAAAGAGATCCTGAAGGAACAGCTCGACCCATACGCCAAGATATAAACGCAATAAAGAAACACCGGATGTCACGCGGAGATCTCGATGCTAGAGTCGTTCCCATCTCCAGCGCCATCGACGACATCACGACGCGGTTGGAGGTTTGGGACTCCGCGGGTACTTCGCGAGCACCGACTGTGGAATTTTCTGCAAGAACGAGTTCGTCCGAAGTGAGCATTGGCGCAAACACGCAGGAAGCTACAAGCACTGGAACAAGAAATCCAACGAGTCAATTGCAAGGATGCCCCCATGTTCCAAACGACCCGAATGGCAAACGATCCACCACAGAGACCAAAAACCGCCAAAACCATTATGGGAATTCAATGATGTTGGGCCTTTGGGGGCCTTCCTCGGAAGACTCTTGCACGCCTCTTGGGGCATCTTGGAGGTCTCTGGCGCCGTCTGGGGACCATCTAGGGCGTCTTGGAACGATCTTTCTGCGACTCGGGACCCTCTTGGACCGTCCTCGGAGGCCTCTTGGGGCCCTCTTGGCCTGCGTTGGGGCCTTCTGGGGACGAACAAAATCACGCGACAAGCCGCGAGGAACCCCAGGGATTACACCGGCAGCCCCGGTAGACTTGAGAAATTGAGCTCCGGGTCCCTAAGAGGTTCCTCAGGAGCGAGGGCTGAGGCTCAGAGGAGTAGGCACAGGACGTGAGGACACGTCCATTCCGTGCCCAAGGGCACGGTGGCGGATCCACTGTGCGACGGTTGCCCTCTTGCGTGGCCTCGAATCCTGGCAGTTTTGGGCCGTGGCCCAGGCAGGGTCTGACTCGTTGTGCCTGCATGAGACTAGAGACGCCAATGCCAAACCCTTGGGTGCTATAGGGCTGGCTTGCAGATCTTCATCCGCCTTGACAGAGGAGTATCATGTTGCTTTCTTGGTTCAGGTGCGTGCACTTAGCCGAACTCCCGTCTCAACATCATGCCACATTACGTGTGCTTCGCCGTCCCAGTTTATTCCGCAGAGAGCAAGAAACGTCATTTCCATACTTGTGGCGACTGTCTCCGATTGTCTTCCTATTGTGTGACTCTCCTCTTGATCCCCCCTCCTTGAAAGGATGCAGGTTTATTATTTGTCCGCATCGCTCAACTCCGCTTGTAAGTGTTGAGCACCGCTGGCGCAAAGGATCTCGTCAAGCGCCTCGACGACCTGAGTGTTCAGCTGAACATGAAAAGCGGCACTTAGGACGCCATTGTTCTCTGTTGCGAGCATGGGCAGTGGAAGCAAACATCATTATCACACGATAGGGTGGATGCAAGAGGGATGAGTGAGATGAGGAGAAGGGTCAGGACAAGTAGTTGAGCCGTTGGATGTGAATTGGGTAGGGTAATGAGCGCAGCAGCCCCTTCCAATCTGCCCGAACAAGAGCCACGAGACCTGGCGGTTGATGCGGTTCACCGACGGAAGAGAGGGCAGGAGGAGGTGGAAGAGAGAAGGTGGGAGCAGATTGGATTGCCAGGCTGCGGGCTCACTTTTGCGATCGCATTTCAGCGTACTAGGAAACTGGAAGTGGATGTGGATTGCTGCCCGCCAGGTGATTGTGAGTAGACGAGATGCAGAATTGAGGGACGTCGTCTTAGAATGCACACGCCTGCGCCAGCATGGAGGCTCCCCAGGCCAACCACACCAGATCTGAGGTGGAGTGGCCAGTGTCAGCCATGCTTGAGGCCCGAGCAGCGTTCAGCATCTGCGTGCACGCCTGACGTCCAAAAGGTTGTCGCTCTGTGTCGATCCATTCCTGCGTAGTCCTGACATTCCCACCTGCGCGCTGCACACTCTCATTCTTCTCCTGCACTATCCTTGCGTGTTGCCAGAGGTCAAGCACCCACCAGTAACGGGCTCGGTTCTGGACGCACCAGATTTGGCTCCAGTCGACGCGAGTTCTTCATCAGGTCAGGGGCCACTGATAGGCTCTGGGGGGACGCATCGACCCCCAATCGCCCACTGATCTCCGACTGGGGCCCGACAACCCGCCCTGTGCGGTTTCGCTGTCGGCGGGTATCGCCGAGCCAACGGCGACGTATCGCCGATTCCAGGTCGATGTTTCCACCCTGAGCTAGCCCCCCCCCTTTGTTTGCCCCTCCTCAAGGCCTTCTCCTCCGACGTCGCATCTGTTTGCAACGTCGGCCACCGGGGAACTCGACCCTTTCCCTGGGGCCGGCTCTAATCCAGGCCTCGGAAAAAATAGCGAACATTCATGCCACATTCATCTGTGAACGCCTCCCCCTTCCCCCCAATGTTCAAAGTTGGCGGTGGGTCTGATGAGTTGCACCTCGACCGCAGTCTCCCCCGCGCGTGCCAACTTTGAGTCTGGGGGGCGGTTCCCTCTACCGTCGTCCTGAGTCATCTTGCTGACGCTCCTGGGGCAGGGAGACAGCCTCCGGAGGCTGCAAACACGACGGGAAAGTCGTCGCCACGGTTGCTCTGCGTCGCGCGGATCGGAGGAGGAGGAGGAGGAGGAGGAGCAGGAGGAGGAGGAGGAGGAGCAGGAGGAGCAGAAGGAGGAGGAGCAGGAGGAGGAGGAGGAGGGGATGTCGCCGGCAAGGGCTGCGAGCCCCGTCGCCCCCCCTCCCGTTCCCAACAAGGTGGTGCAGCCCCAAGGCCAGAGCTGCCCGCCGAGGCACGCGGAGGCCTCCCCACGAGCTCCCCCTTCCCCTCCCCTATCCCCCTCTCCTCCTCCTCCTCCTCCTCCTCCTCCTCCTCCTCCTCCCCTCCTCCTCCTCCTCCTCCTCCTCCTCCTCCTCCTCCTCCTCCTCCTCCTCCTCCTCCTCCCCTCCTCCTCCTCCTCCTCCTCCTCCTCCTCCTCCTCCGCCTCCTCCTCCTCCCCCTCCCCCTCCCCCTCCCCCTCCCCCTTCTCCTCCTCCTCCTCCTCCTTTATCCTTATCCTCCTCCTCTCCTCCTCCTCCTCCTCCTCCTCCTCCTCCTCCTCCTCCTCCTCCTCGGGCGCAACCCGCCGCCGGGGGCAGCGTGAGGGGGGATACATAGGCTCACAGTGGAACGCATCGACCCCACATCTCGTCGCCGCTATTGGCTCGATTGCCCACTCCAACCTGGAGCGTCCGGATTCGCTGTCGTGGGCGTATCGCCGATCTATCGGTGGCGCATCGCCGATCTATCGGCGACGCTTCACCCCCTGTGGCTCCCTCGAGGTCCTCTGAAGCCTTTGGAGACCTTCCGAGCCCCCCCAAAAAAAGCTCGAGACCGGCCCCTTTGCGGTCAAGCCGTTGTGATGAGAAGGACAGGTTCGGGTTCGCAAATGCTTGCTGTCCCTTAGGTCCGTCCATGGAGGAGGACGAGGAGGAGCCTGGACCGTGGCTAGGGTCTGGACGTGCTGGGCGATCGCACTCATCCCAATTCATGTTGTTTCGATCAGTTGTTCCCCCAGCGCTCCTCGTGCACCCGGACGCTGGTGGGGCCCGAGAGGCGCTGCTCCTTTTTCGGCAGTCCTTCTGGCAACAGTTTGGCTGTACCTTTCTGGCCTCCCCCGACCCCTCCCCACTCTGGGGTCCTCGGGCCGGGAGCGGGGCCAAAGGCCCTCGCGGCCCCCGCTTCCGCCCCGCCGAGCGACGCCGGCGTCGAGAACGCTCCTTCTCCCCGCTCGCTCAGCATTCAGTCGGGCACGTCCCTCTACAGGAGGAAAATTCAAAAATAGTAAAAGCAAAGTTTGTGGACGATGTTTGAAATATGTCTTTGAATATGTTTGGGGTATTTCTAACTGTTCGTCCAAAATCCGCCTGTAGGGGGCCATGCCCGACCTGAGCTCAGCAGCGCCCGCGCTGGATGGGGAGAAGTGTAAGCGATCTGCTCGAGTACCTCCCCACGCGCTCCCCCAATTTCACGCGATCCAGGCGGTGCCCTGGAGACTGCTTTTTTAGGGGCCGGGCGATAACCCGGATCATCGGGCTTGCCCTCCCCCTCCCCCCCCACAGGATAACCTAACCTCACCGGTTGTGCAGGTCCGCGGGAGGGGGAGCCCGGGCATATGAAGGGTTGCCCACAGCGCGAGGGTTAGGTTATCGGCCGGCCCCCTCCCCCCCCCGTCCCCGAGGAAACCCGTGGGGGGGGTCTCCTGTCTCCCTCCCCAGCCGGGGGGGAGGGGGGGGCTGCGCAAACGGCGTGCCCTGCCTTGCGGGGGACGTTGCGACCAGGCGGCGCCTGGGCCCCAGGAGGAGCATTGGCAGAGGGCGTGCAGCTGCACATTGCGCGGGCGTGAAAGGACGAAGCTTCGAGCCTCTCTCTCTTACGGTATCCCCGCTGTACGTGCTGCGCGCGTGCTGAGTTTGTGTGAATGTTGCGTTTGCGTTCCAACACCAAATCATTTAGAGCATGTTGTTGCGCGCGAGCGTCTCGGACTCCCAGAGAAGGCTTGGTGAGGCGAACATCAAAGCCCCAGTGTTTGCGGGTGTGGCTACCTCGCGCGGTGCTCCTAGACATGGAGATTTTGCTGCTTATAATTTGCATATTTCTCCCATTCGACTGACCTGTTGGAATGACGAGGGTCTCCGACAACATGCTCTCTATGTCGGACCTGGAATAATGGAATGAAGCTCTGCAGTTGAGATGTGATTGCTGCCTGTTGCCTCCACCTGGGATGACCAGCTCCCCACACCCGATTATGAGAACAATAGTTATATCATATTGGTTCCCAAACTAGCAACAAACAAAACAATATGCTGAAAAAAAGAGTACAATCAGCATCTTCGAGGTTATTCCAAATTGGTTGGTCGCAGCGCTGCGGCGTCGAGCAGAAATACACAGGCGCTGGGGAGGCCAATACAGCGAGGCAGTACCGAATGTGGCATGGCCCGCGCACCAGAGGGTTCCAGCCTATTTGAGCAGCGCCGTTTTGTAAACGTGATCGAATACCTGTAATCCGTAGTAACAGAAGAAAATGCACCGTTGCAGCCATGCAGCCTGTGTTACGAAACCGTAAATTCTGGAAATAATGTCGCGGTTCAAAGTATATTTTGGGAATGTCGTGCAGGTGACCAGAATTTTGTGGAATATGGTTTTCCGAAAAATTTGGGGTTGTTTGTACAATCGGCATTTTCAGCAACATTTGAAGCATACGGGGCCAGGATTCTGCAATATGGATTAGCAAGGTTTCGGTGATAATTTGATAGCTGGATTTTTGTGAGGATTTCACGTTGTGTTGCGTTCAGAATAATTCAGAAGAAAAAGATAATACAGAAGGCAAGGTGTTTCATAACGGAAAGCGGTAATACTTAAAATAATGATAACGAAGAAAACCCATCAGGGGGGCTATAGGGCTATTATAGAGCTATAGAGTTGTAGGGCAATTGGGCTATAGGTCTGTAGGGCTATGGGGCACCCCCGGGCAGCCCCGGGTACATCCCAGCACGCCCGGGCATGCCCGGGTACCGGGTACCCAGGCACCCTTGGGCACTCCCCCGGGCACCCGGGCGTGCAGCGAAAATCGGCGGCCAACCGGCACCCGGGCGTGCAGCGAAAATCGGCGGCAAGCCTAAACTTAACCATATGAATCCACTAGGACTCTTACAGAGGCAAGCTCTGATTGGGGAATGAAAGCGTCACAATAGAACGTGCCCTTAAAATTAGAATTCTCACGGAAAAGGGGGTATACCCACAATGAAGAGGTTGTATGTGTGTTAATTCTGTTTCTCGTATGCACCACGCATGCCGCAAGATTTTCCCCGCTGTCCTATAAATAAGAAAAATAAGAAAAACTCCCGCTGCGTGAATCAATTGAGCCGCAAATGATGTCGCTACGTGCGGTTTCAGAAAATATATATTCGGAATATTTGTTTGCGCATTTTTTCGGTCTGTACATTTGCCGAACGACATGTATAGTAATTTTTCGAATCCGTGCCGAAATGATTCTATAGAGTTTGAGAAGATGCAAATTTTCCTGAAAATCTGAGGAAATGGTATTGGAGATTCACAAATTCAGCAAGAAATCTCACTGTTGGGCCACCGTTTCACTAATAACCCACACCGCGTTAATAACGTTCCACCGCATCAGTATCAAATCCCACCGCTTCAGTAACGAACCCCATTGCTTCAGCATTAGAAACCCGAAACCAACGAAAATATTACGACAGCGCCTCTGTTGACGATAATAAAATTAATTTTGTTATTCGAGAACATCCTATGACGACGAAACTCGTTTTAATCCGGCGATGTTTTACCGACGATGACGATGAAGTTCCATTCTTTTGTCTTCCTCTCTTTGTCCTCTTCTGGTCGTCGCCGTCCTTCTCCTCTCCCCTGGAAGACATGTCTATTCTGCGTTAGACGCGTATAGACTCGCGGCGCTCTCGTTTGAGCGCGGTACGTGAGTATCTAAAACAACAAATTATAGACATGAGCAGACGCGCGGCACTCTCGCTTGCACGACGTGCTAAACATGTCTGTTTTGCAAGCAGTGTCTAAAATTTCATGCCGTGTCTAAACATGTCTAAACGTGTCTAAACATGTCTATATTCGCAGGTATAGTTGGTGTCTAAACGTGTATAAAATACAACACGCCATGCTGTGGAATCGCGCGCAAATGTGCCTTCAGCTTGACACGGGCATGTAGCTAGTGCCTTTGATATCGCAGATTGTAGCATGTTGGCCAGCCAGTGAAAGATGATAGAGGGGAGGACAAGGAAAAGGAGGAGGGGGAGGACGAGGGTGACGAGGAGGAGGAGGAGGAGGAAAACGAGGAGGAGGACGAGGAGTCACAGGAGGAAGGGGAGGAGGAATACCCTCAGGAGGAGGAGGAGGAGGAGAAGAAACAGCTGCAGCAGCAACAAGGGCAGGAACATGAGGAGGAGGGGGGCCAGGCGGAAGATGAACACGGGGACGCTGAGGGCGGATCATCGATGATGCCGATGAGACGATGGGATGACGATGGTGATGGTGATGATTGATGACGACGATGATGAGGAGGAGGAGGAGGAAGGGGGTGATGAGGAGGAGGATTGGTGAGGGAGG